TTCGCTTGGGACGTCCTCGAAAGCCATTCAAACGCCGCGCCCTCGACACTCAGAAGTCACGCTCCCGCTTTGGACTTTCTCACTACTTACTTGGGAATCGCGCTAGAGCTCGGGACTTCATAGCGATCCATGCCGGACTCACGTTTCAGCAACCCGCCTGCTCGGCCTGGTCGCATGGGTCCGCCTTCCCGACCCGCCCGCTAGGGTCTGTCCGCCCGATCTTCCCGTCTGTCTCTGCCACGTGTTTTCTGCTCCCAGCCCCCTCAACTGCTGACTTCTCTCGTGCTCCACCTTCTCTCTCCCCCTTCCATCCGTCCTCTCTTCCCGTGCCGGAGGGGCTGCAGTACATGCACGTGGCAGCTAAGGAAGATGGACCCCACAGGTGGGACAATCGAAGACGAAGAGGGCGGGTACCGAGGGTTTGGGATATGCGTGTTGAATGGCACGCGTGCAGATAGTAGCGAAGAACCTGAACAACAAACATAACAACATGTTGATAAACACTATTGCTGTTGCTTGCGACCCGGCCTGCGACCCACGCGCCGCGACGCACCCGCGACCCACCCCGCGCCCGGTCCCTCACTCCACCCCTCGGTGCTACATACTTTGTAAGAAGCCTCTCTGGCAACTCCTCCCTCCTCCCCCTCTCCCTCCTACATCGCTCCTCCCTTCTCCACCATCCTTCCTCCCTCCTCGCTTCCTCATTCGCTCCTCCATCCCTCCTGCTGCTGCTCCTCCTCCTCCTCCTCCTCCTCACCTAGAGGAGGCGGAGGACTGAAGAGGCGGAAGAGGAGGTGGAGCGGAAGAGGAGCAGGGGACGGAAACCTAGCGTGAACGAAGGGAGTCCTGGTGGACACGGGTCCTGAAACACGGGGCCTTCCCCGATACCAACTTTTCATCCCGGGTCGCCTTCTTACTTGGACTGCAACTTCTGGGGGGGTGGTTCTTCGCACGAACGTGCAAGGGCTATTAACCCCAATTACGGGTCCATTACGTTGGATTGGCCCAGGTTAAACCCATGACGGGATCAAACCCGCGACTAAACCAGATTGAGCCGGGTTGGGCGGAATTGAACGGGAGTCAACCGGATTAGACCGCGTTCCGACCACGGAAATACCAACGCCGATATTGGATTTAACTTCCCAGGAGCTGCATCCTAATTCTGATTGTTCTGGGCCCCAGAGAAAGCCCCAAAAAGGTGGAGAACTGCGAAAAGCATCGCTAACCGCTAACCCCTTCTCCTCGGGACCCCTTGTCTCTTCATGGCGAACCTCCTCTTCTCAACAATGTACCCCCGTACCTCTTCAGGGGTGCGCCTTGACTAGAACTTCGAGGCATCCCGCTGTGGCGGCGAGAGTCCTACCTGTTGCCCAATGATGTCGAAGAACGTTCAAAACAAGTCCGCAGGAGGCGGAGGCGGAGGAGGGTGCGGGCCGGGCCGGTGTGATGTCGCGGAGCTGACCCCCTCTGATGGTGAGCAGGAGGAGGAGGAGGAGGAGGAGGAGGAGGAGGAGGAGGAGGAGAGAATGAGGAGGAGGAGGAGGAGGAGGAGGAGGAGGAGGAGGAGGAGGAGCATCAGCAGGATAGGTAGACAGAGCAAGAAAAACAACACACACACATACTTTCGGAGGTCCGTGCGGATGTCTTGGATCGGGCTGGCGCTGAACGCGCCGCCAGGGACCTCCATCCACGATCCAAGAAATCCCACGGCCCGGGAAATCTGCGCGGACATTCGGGCAAGATGATCATGCCCCGACGATACGATTTTTCCAATGCGCGGCCCCAGGGGTCCCGACCGCTTCCCCGGGGCATCTCCTTCGTCCTGGCTTCATTCTCCGAACGGGGGACCTCTGTCCCCGAGGCCTGCCATCGGGGGATCAAACGCCGCCTGACTCACAAAGCACGCGCACCGTCGGAGACCCGGGAGCAGCTTGATCCTGCCACCCCCGCGACTTGCCCACCATGGAGGTTTCCAAGTCGAGAGAGAGAGAGAGAGATTGCGACGAGCAGCAGGCCGGAGAGGGGGGGGCCGCGGAGGAGGAGAAGGAGCAGGAGGAGGAGAACGACGAGGAGACGAGGTGGAGGAGGAGGCCACACGAGGCAGCGGGGGCGGGGGGCGGGCGAGCGGGCGCGGCAGGGCCAGAGCCGCCCTGGGCGGGGGGCACGGCAGGCGCGGCAGGCGCGCCCGCCTCTTCACCGAGTCCTGGCGGTGGGCGCGCGCCGCTGCGCGGGGGCCCCCGGCTGAGGGCGGGGGCAGCCGGCGGGCTCCCGGGGCCCCCCCTGGGGACCGTCAACAAAAGACTCGGGACGTCAGCGCGGCCCTGGGGGAGCGTCGGGACTTCCGGGGGCGCCGCATCGGGCGAACAAAAAACAACAAGACAAGACATCGCATGCCGCGGGGTTTGCAAAAGGGGGAGGAGCAGGAGCTCGAGAGAGGCAGGGCAGCAAAGGGGGGGGGGGGGAAGGGGGCGGGGGCGACGAGGGAGAGAAGTGGAGGGGGGCCGAGGCTCTGGATGGAGGAGGCAGGATCGGGGAGAGGGAGGAAGGAGAGGGATCAGGGCCTTGGAGGAGGAGGAGGAGGAGGAGGAGGAGAAAGCAGAGAAGGAGGAGGGGGAGGGGGACTTCCAGCTGGGCCCCCCTTTCCTCTGACGCCGCGAGCGGAACGCATGGCAAAAGCTCCTGCTTGAAGACTCGGCTCCCACGCGAAGGCGGGGTCAACAGGCATGGATCTCTGAAGCCCTGAGCTGCCCTGGTACGCAACGCGCACCCCGGAGCGTGTTGACACGTGGCTCAACACGCAGATTGAAAGCGTGGGCCTAGCTGTATACGTTCGCGAGAGAGCGTAGGCCCGCGTGTTGAACTGACAAAGCCGTCTCGACCAGGTACGTGTTGAACACGGCACATGTTGCGTTTCAACGCGGGCGTCTCAGTTCAACTAAGCTGCGCTTGTGATCTGCCAGAACGTCGGAGTCGAGGCGAAGGTGCGAAGAAGCCAGGTCCTGCCACCCCCACGACTTGCCCATGGAGGTTCCCAAGTCGACATGTATATATATACAGAAAGAGAGAGGTTGCGACAAGCAGCAGGTCAGAGGGAGGGGGCCGAAGGTGGAGTAGAATGGGAGGAGGAGGAGGAGAAGTAGGAGGAGGAGGAGAAGAACGACGAAGGAGTCGAGGTGGAGGGTGAGGGTGACGGAACGGCGCGTGGAGGGCAGAAGAAAAGAGAAAACTTGGAATGTCGAGGAAGACGATTTGGAATAGGAGGCAACATGGGGGCGGAGAAGGGGAGGGGGAGGTCGAGCAGTGGGAAAGAGAAGGGAGCTGAGTACGAGAAGGAACACGAGACCGAGGGAGGATGGAGGAGAAGCAAAGGGGGAGAGAGGAGGGGAAAGATACGGAGGAAGAGGTCGAGAAGCAGAGGAGAGGGAGGGTGAGAAGAGGACGAGACGAAAAGGGGCATGAGGAGAAGGGACGGAGAAGGAAGAAGAGGAAGATGACGGAGGAGAACGAGGAGGTGGAGTAGGAGGACGAGCACGGGAGGCTGACGTGGAGAAGGCGGGAGGTGAGTGAGGAGCAGCGGCAACATCAGTAGCAGAAATCGAGGATTGCGGTGCGGTCGGAGGGAGGAGGGCGTCCATTCTTGGGGCGGGGGGGGAGGGGGCAAGACTGTGCGGGGCGAGCGGGTCGGATCCTTGTGTGACAGGAGCGCGCTGGCAGAAAGTGCGGGGGCTTGGGCGGACAACGCTGGGCGAAGGACAGAACAAGACAAGCAGGATAATGGCCGAGCAGCGTGATGCAGAAGAAGAGGAGGGACGAGAAAGGAGGATGGAGGAGGGGGGAGGAAAGATGAGAGAGGTGGATGAGGACGTGACGGCCGACACGAGAAACCCAGAGAGTGGCGCGTGCTCCTCCTCGAACCACTGGCCGCGCGGAAGCTTGTTCTTGCCGTCGGCGGTGACGAGACTGCCGTCCTTGCGCCGCGCTCTCTCCTCCTCTCGACCAGTGCCATGTGCGCCTGCACCCCTGGGAGGGGCGGAGAGCGATGATCTGCGGCCAGGCTGCTTGCGATCCAATGGCGATGCAAATCATACCGACGGCTTTGCTACATCAGGCGTGGCCAAGCAACACAAATCTCGGCTACACGCAAGAGTGACTCTGGGTAAGAGTGACCTTGGGTGCGCGGCTTTTTGGGGGCCGCGGGGGGACCAAACACAGGCGCGCAAGGCGCTACTATCGCATCGCAATCGGTGCGCGGGGGACCCCATTGGGCGAAAGGTCACTCTTACGTGTAGTCGAAAATCCTCATTCGCCAGAGCAGGAGAAGACTGCGAACGTGACTTGCGTGCCGTGGCCGATGCCCGATGGTGGTGCCTGCCACGACCCCGCTGCTCACGGACACGTTGGTGGCCGCCTGTCGCCACGACAGCATCCCGAGCTTCGACCTCGACGACTTAATGCTTGTCCCATTCGCCGGCCCTTGAAGCTAGCAGCCCCTTCTCTCCAGGAAAGACCTCACACACCGACCCGCCACAAGAACGAGGCGGGGTTTTGGCACGGCTCCGACGCCTTTGTTTTCCCAGTTCTGGTTATGGCGCCGTTGCTGTCCCGTTCCGGTGAGCCGTGCTATTGCCAACCCTTCCAACTGTTCACTGGCCAGATTCTCGGAAACGGTAATCCGCCGGCCCCCTTGTGGGGCCACCAGGCTGTAGGCCGAAGCTTCGCAGTTTCCTGTGCCAGTTGCAGCTTCTAGTTTCCACTGTTACAGTTCTGCTTCTTGCTGCTTACTGTTCCTTGCTGATGGACCGCGCGAGGGGGGGAGGCCCAAAACCGACGCGCCACCGACGCGCGGCGCCGACGGCTGCCGCGCGGACGGCCCTGCGGCACCTCGTCGGACGGCCCTATGCGGCACCTCGCCGAGGGTGGCCGAAGACTCCTGGTCGTGACTCTGTTCACGTCCTGCGCGCCACCGACCAGCGGCTCCGACGGCCGTCGTGCGGGCGGCCCTACGGCACCTCGTCGGAGCCCTCCGCGGCAGCGGCCGCCTGACGCTCGCGCAGCAGGCGGATCGCCTGCGCCTGGAGCGCGGCGAGCAGCACCCGCCGCCCGCCCTCCTCGTCGCTGCTGCCCTCGCCCTCGGAGCTGCTCTCTCCGCCGTCCTTCGGTGATCCGCGAACGATGAGAGAACGGCACGCGCCCAAACCTCCGGGGATGCGGAATGGGCCGGGGCAGGGCGGTGCAGGCGATGCACGCATGGGCGTGAGTTGTCGGACCCTGAGGGGGCTCCCATTCGAGCGGGGACCCCCTTTCCGACGACACACACCCGCAGCTACCCCCCCGGCATTCCGCCCCGAGGACTTCGGGGGTCGCATAGGTATGGCATGGGTGCTAGTTGCAATCTCATGAGAAAAAGTTTGGAAGCAACTCCTGGGAGGTCCTCATAAGAACGATTAACAAACAATTCAGCCCAAGTTAGGGCCACTACGCCAGATGAGGCCTGATTAGAACGAGGCTGTCATGATAAAATTGGTCTAACCCGGATTAGAAAACATCATGCTATGTTAGGCTTGTTTTCGACCCCGGATATACCAGCGCTAAAGCTGAATCAGAAGTTGCATCCTAAGCAACGTGCCCAAGGCATGCTCACGTCGCGACACAAACACGGAGAGAAGTGTCAGGTCACCTCCGGGGGCTCTCGTTGGGCCTCGGGACCATCACAGAACGACTCGGAAAGACAAGCTGGCCCTTTGGAAAAGGTCGGGACTTCTGCGCACCCCGTAGTGAAAATCAAGAAATCACATGTCTGGGAACGCGTATTAGCGCCAACGCGGGCTTGTCCACCGAAGCGCCTCGATACGACGCTTGCGGTGTGATGAGGGCTGACACGGGCTGCATGCCTAGATGCCTCCCAAATTGGGTCCGAGCAGATGGGGTCGTATCGCGCCGCATCGCCGATGCATCGGCGATCCATCGGCGACGTCGCCGACGCATCGGCGCCACCGGCGAGGACAAAATCGGGCTCCACATCGAGCCGCATCGCCGATGCATCGGCGATGCGGCGCGATTCTCCGACCCCATCTGCTCTGACCCTATCGGCAGAGCTGAGCGGGGCAAGCACGCATCGGGCTAACACGCGTTCTGAGGATCACGGGGTCCTCCGCGTCCTCCGCGCTTTCCCCGGCGAGCCGACCGCCGCACTCGGCGAGGCCCAGGGAGAGGGCGTGCACGCTCACGGCGCGGGAAGGGAAGCGGCCCGGGGCCGAGTGCCCTCCGAGCGTGAAAACGTCGAAGCCGCTGACCAGCGCCTTGTGCCCCTCCAGCGCTGGGGCGCCGTCGGGCAGCTGGTGCCAAACGCCCGCGGGGACGTCGTAGCACCAGGTGTCCGTCAGGCACCTGTGGGTGGTGTCGTCGAAGCCGCCAGAGACGAGGAGGCTCCGACCGAAGATGGCGTGCGCCGGGTTCCGTCGCGCCCTGGGGGCAGGGCCTGGCGACCTGCGCGATGAGGAGTCTGCGTCCCAGCGCATCATGCGCAGGTCGAATATGGCCACGCCGCTCCTGAATGCGTCGCCGAAGGGCCCTCCGCGCTCTCTCTCCACCCCGCCGAAGATAGCCAGCCGCTGGTCGACGACCCCAGCGGCGTGCCCAGCGCACGAGGGCCCGTCGGCCGCTGCGAGGAACCAGCTGCCAGAGTCGGCCTCGAAGATCCAGAGCCCGCGCGCCGTGCCGCCCGAGCCGAGGCCTCCAAGCAATGCAACTCGCCGGCCGCCGTCCAGACCAGTTGCGGTGTGGAAGGCGGTCGGCGGCGGACTGGGCCCCTCCAGCCCGGGCAAGCCCCGGGCCGGAGGGGGCGGCAGCTCGGACCACTCTGGCCCTGCCTCGCGCAGGTGCAGCGCCCAGGGCGCCTGGCAGTCGCCCTCTTCGCTCCAGCCGCCCAGCAGCAGCTGCCTGCCACGCAGCGACGTCAGGCTGGCACCCCAGCGGCGCGCTGGCCACGGTGAGCCTGGCCTGCAGGGCAGCCGCTCCATCTGGACGCCCGTGCCCGCTGCGCCTGGCAGCGCGGCCACGAAGAGCTCGTCGCTCGTGCGCCAGGCGCCCGCCACGGTGCGGGAGACGTTGCCGCCGAACAGCACCGCGGCCTCGCAGTGGCCCTCGGGCGCGCCGCACACGGCCACCGAGTGCCTGGAGCTCGGCACGTCGCCGCCCGGCCGCAGCACCGCCCACTCCGCGGGCGCCGCACTGGGGCGCACGGCGGAGCGCGCGAGGAGGGGCCAGCCGGTGGCCTCATGGCCCCGCCTGAGGCGGGCCACCTCTGCGTGGCGGAGGCTCGGGCCGCAGTCGTCGCCGGGCGCGGGGGCCGCCCGCATGCTGCACAGCGGCCTGTACGCA